TGCATTCTTATCGATGCGGTCCCGACGAGTCCGAGAAATGTTGTTGCCTCGTCGTATTAAAAAAAAAAAAAAATTCCAAAGCTTCTCGTCACAAGCCTGGTCCGATGAATTTGGAATTTTCGCGACTTCTGCGGTGAATTTTCTACGAAAACCGTTTTATTCTCGATTTGAGAGATCGATCGTCGTCGTTAACCTTCAGCTGGTTTCCGACATCCGTAAACGCGGTCGGAAGAACGACCATGAAATTGTTTTTTTACTCCCTTCGCAGACGAGACATAAATAAGTGAATCGGAAGAGGCCCGGCAGGTGGACGGAAGTCGGAGAAAGAGAGAAGAGAAGAGGAATGGAAGGGCTACAACGAGAACAAGATTTAACGTCCAGGCAGGTAAGAGGGGAAAGTTGTTTAACACCTCATGCATCTTTCGCCCGATCCCCCCATTCACCGTTTATCCATATTCCCTCATTATGTCATGACACTTGGGATTCGCACGTAATAGGGGAGATAAATTTTTATTGTCTCCCGGCTCCATGAATGGAAGAGGCGAGGCCGCAAATTTATGGCACCGTTGAGCACGCGGGCCCAGAGGATGCATCGGGCGGGTCGGGGAGGCTCCTCCCCGGCCCCGCGGTCCATCCCCGCGGTCCATCCCCGCCCCCCTCCCCCCTCCCCCTCACCCCTTCCCCTCACCCCTTCCCCCGTCGCTCCGGTCCTCCGCGGAACCGAAGGATTTCCCGCGGGACTCCTTTGAGGCCCGAGTAGGTGAAACTCGTGTTGCCATCGCGACTTTCCTGCCACCTCTTTGGGGTTTCTGGAACTACGCTTTCCGCCATTCCCCACCAGAGCTCCAACTGCATGCCGAGCCTTTCTCTCTCCCTCTTTTTTTTTTAAATATCATGCTACGTAACCAGTCCAGCTTTAATTGCTGGCTCGTTACGGGCATAATCCTCACAGATACTCCTGGCGTCATGGCATCTTGGGAATTCAATTTTTTTCTGTCAGCATGACTGTCGTAAACGTCCTTGTGCTCATTATGCCTCTTCTAAGATAATATTCACGACCATGTTTCTGACATGTTTGATTATTACACCCGGACTCGTTATAATTTGTCCCTCGTTGTCTTATCGAGATCTGACAGTCGTCGTTCCGCCAAAAGCCACGATTGTATGGATAAAGCTTGCACCCATAATAAACCGAGCGACAAACAGGGAATGTCCGTGTATAGTTATTTGCCTTGCGTTACTTCGTTTTACGGCTCGGTTCCTTCGACCGTACGAACACAGATGGCGGTCCACTTAGTGGCATTTGCATGCATTCGATGTTTGGTCGGACGAGACGACGGCATCTCGCCCCGGTCGGGAGGAGGAGGGGGGGGGGGGGGGGGGGGGGGGGGATGGCCGTAAACGTTTGCCGATCCGGCCGCGCTGGGTCGGAGGAAGAGACGCGAGGGAGAAGAAGGGGGAAAAAGGGAGAGAAATGGGGGAAGTTTTAATCATCCAAACCCCCCCTCCTATCCCTCTTTCCTTCCTCCTTTTCTTCCTCCTGGAGTGATAAACGAGCCCGATTGTCCCCACCCCTCGTATAGAGATATCTCTGAATTCTGGACGAGAGCTCGCGACCTTGGACGGGCCTTTCGAGGGACCCGTGAACTGTCTCCCGTGATTCTTGGACGGATGGGAAAGGAAGAAAGTGGGGGGTGGGAGGGAAGAACCGTTCGTCGTCTCTTTCATGGGAAAACGGGGATAAAAGAAAGAAAAAAGTGTTTGCTTCTCTCGTTCGGATGCGTGAAGGCGAAATGCCTGCGCGCTTTCTCTCTGTCTCTGTGGCCTTTATTCCACCCCCCCCCCCCCCCCCCCCCCCCCCCCCTCGAATGCCGGCATCGAGAAAGCACGATGGCGGGAAAAAAGGGGCCCTCCCTGCCAAGTTGCAAACATGTCGCATTGTGTAGCACGAGGGGTGGGGAATGGAGAGAACCCCCCTCCCCCTCCCCCTCCCCTCCCCCTCTCCATGGTGCCCTTTCCTGTCCCGACTTTACCGACCTCGAGTGGATTCCGCATCGCTCTCTGTAACTTCTGATTCCGAATTTGCTGGAACTTCCTTCGTCTTTTCGGAGTTTGTCGAAACTCCATAGAAAAGATTCGATCGGGTTCCGCGATCGAGCGAAACGTCATCGCGAAAATTCAGCGGTCGAGCGAACTCCCTGACGCATTGCTGTCGGAATTCGCGAGAGATATATGACACCCGAGCTTCATCCAGAGTTCGACGTAACCCCCCGACACTCTTAATTTAGAGGTTGACAGAACTCCCCAACACTCCAGTAAGTAAATGATGACGTCTATACGTCTTGACGCGTTCCACGGACTGTCGTCCCAAATGCGGAACGCGTTTATCTGCGAGCCTCGCATATCACGAGGCCACCTCTGAAGATGATGCATCGACATCGAAAGAGTTGCCGAAAGGAAAGCCCTTGCACGTCCCTACAAGCCCCTCCAAGCCCCTCCAAGCCCCTGCAAGCCCCCTCGAGCTCCTTCTACACTCCACATTGTCCAGCGGGGTCATGCCTCCACGTCTCACGCAATTCTCTTTACGTCTCTTCTTTTTTGGGGTCCTTGAGTCATTCGCATTGTATGGTGATGAAGATGATATGACGATGGTGACAGTCCAGTCGAACGTGTCGCCACGGCTCGTGGTCCAGGGACTTTGAAGGTCGTTCACGTCGTAGACGGGAACGCGTTTGAAAAACGTGGAACCTAATCTATGCGTTTCCGAGTTTTTGCACGTGCATGCCTTTGCGAGTGGAGCCATTTTCGAGCAGACGCCGAGATGTGGGATCGATTTAGTGGCATGCTCCCCCGAAAACTTTAAAAAGGCTCTCGAATGTCGTTACTTTGCCCTGCGCTACAGCTACATTCGATCAGGAATAATAACGCTGGTCGACGTGCAATACTTGCAGCGCAAATAAATTCGAGAAGAAAGTTTTGGGGACGCGAGCTGGAGAATGGAACTGTACTTCATCTTTCGAGGCTCTTTCGAGTTAAACTTTCTTAAATTCGTCGACGAGAACCCAAGTAGAGAAGGCATTCGGCCGCTTCCAGCGATTTTCGCAGTGGAAATCGTCCCCGATGAGTCTTCGGACGTAGAAGCGAATACAGCGAGGTGGAATCCGGTTCCGCGAAGAGACGCGTCGGTTCCTTGATGACCGCAGAATGAGCAGGTTGTCGTTGTTGGAAGATGCAAGCAAGGACAGTAAGAGAGATAAGAGAGCGAGAGAGAGACAGAGAGAGACAGAGAGAGAGAGAGAGAGCCATGGTGGATGAGGGGATGGCCCCTCCTCTTTTTATCCATCCTCGGCCTAGGCCTCGCTGCAGCTTGTTCTCTTCCCTCGCAGTCTCACTCACGAGACACACCGCCTCTCTCGGGCTCGTAAATTACCTCGTCATTACATCCCGTCTACCTCTTTTCTTCACCACGGTATCTCTTTTGTAACCGTCTTCACGGAAGGTGTCGATTCCGTGCCTGTGCCGTTCGGTGCGTGCGATCCGTGCTGAAAGGAACCAGAGAGGAGAGAGAGAGAGAAAAAATATATATTTATCAGAGAGGAGCTCTTTAAGTGTGTGTCGGTTGCGCGCGTGGCTCACCTGAAGGTTTTATGACTCCCATAATTCACCTCTTTCCTCGTCTCGGAAGTGTGACCTCTTCATTGGCTTCGTTGAGCCTTTTCTTTATGGCCTTCGTCTGTCCGTTCGCCCCGCCAACCCTTCGTCTTCTCCCCGGGTGCGATTTTCCGCGAACCCCACGGAAAAGACGATCGCAATTAGCGTGAAAATTTTGGTGCGTGTGCAAGCCGTTACTGTTTTCGGGAACACCAGGTTTATTCTTTCTTTAAATAGGCGTATTCGATTTCGTAATCGTTCACGTGCAAAGATTGCTCGATTCCGTTTTGTCATTTGTGATTTAAAAAAAGGAAATAGTTGTAAGGTCCAAATGCGCATGTTTATCATTATGCCAGAGATAGATGTCGTAGCCACAAAGAAGGCACTTTCTTTGTTTTGACATTCTGAAAGTAGTCTTAATAGTTTTAAAATCGGAAGTCACGACCATGTGATGTCGATGATGGTGCGCCTCATTTTCCCGTCGCCTCATTTGGAAGCGTTTCGATCCGCATAAGGCTGACATCTACGAAACTTTCCCCATTATTTCCACGCTCGATCCTCTGGGTCGGAGAGGAATATCTCGCCGTTTCGATTTCGCGGGACCCATTTCAGTTCGTAATCCAGGCCCGACGACACGTGGACGCTGCTCGCCGAAATTAGTTGCAGGGACTCGCACCGCCATCGATGGTTTAATTTAATTGCCTTTAATTGCCAGGAAACTCGATAAGGTTGCCATCTCCAGCTGCGCTTTTCGAGGGAAGAATGTTTCTTTTGCCGTCTTTGTTCTCGGAAAGAACCCGTTTCCTCGTGCAGTTGTGCGTGTTTCGATGCCCTCTTAATACTCCATCCGAATATCATTCAGTATTCCTATCGAGCGATTCGAATCGTATGCGGAGCGTGTGACTCAAAAAGAATCGTCTAAAACGAGCTAGACGTTACATTTTTCGCTTCGAAAGCCGTTCATCGTCGACGAATATAATCGTAAAGTGCGCACAGAGAATCCTTGTCGAACCGCAAGGAACATCACCGACCGATCCCCCGAATTACAGCTTCCGATCCAAACGCAGTCACCCGCACGCGACGAGTTTCGGCAAAGGGTTTTGCCCTCTCGGGCGGCACGCTTAAAGAGATGCGCAATTTTTCATCGATGCGACGCGTTTCGCCCGATAAGGCGAGACGTCGCATCGAGAGGGACGGTCGGACGCTGGAGGGAAGGTAGCAGAAGGTATCGGCCGTGGCACGGTCGAATGCGAGCATGGCGAATGCGAGATTCATTAATCTTACCCACAGGCCATATTGAGATATCATTTCCTGATTTTTTTTTTCATCGCCTCTCCTCCCTCTCCGACAGGAGTCACCACCGTCGTCGTTCCCCCTCCCCGTGGCAAGTGCTGCAAGTCGCACGGATAGAAGCGTACATGTGCATGCGGATGTGAGAGAGGGTGGGAAATATTCCGAGGAGAAGAGAGGAGGGAAGGGGAGGGAAGGACACGGGACCGCGGGGGTCTCTTCCACGCAGAATCCAAAAACCTCTCGGCCTATATCGTGGACGGGGACGGGGAGTTGGGAAGGCAAAAGAAGAGGGACGACGAGCTAGAGACCCCATCCCATAAATCCCTGGCATCGGGACGGGCCACGACTCCCGTCTGTCTGTCCCTCGACCGTCGAAGTCCTTCCGATCGTGTGCAATCGTCGTGCATCGACGTCTTCGTCGGAGGAGGAAGATGCAAGAGCGCGGGTGTGCATGATGAGTTCGTATCAGTTCGTGAATTCCCTGGCCGGTTGCTACCGGGGCCAGGAGCAAGACTATTTCGGGGCCGGGAACAATTATGCCTCGTGCTATTCCCCGAGCCAAGTGTACCCGTTCAGCACGGGGTCGGGCCTGGCGGCATCGTTGACGGGACAACCGAACGGGAGCGATCCCGCCGGCTCCACGTACGCCGCGGCGAGTGTCACGCCTCCGGGCCCCGTCTCCGTCTCTCGGTCCATGGGACTGCAGAATCCCAGCGTCTCGCCCCCGATCGCGAACCCGGCTCCCAGCTGCAAGTTCGCGGAAACGGGGAGCCCCCAGGACCTGAGCACGGCGAATTCCGCGTCGGCGGAACCCGCCGCCTCCCGGAACACCAGTTCCTCCAATAGTCATAATAACACTTCGACGACGAACACCAACAGTGCGTCGTCCAACGCCTCCGCCGCCAACGGCAACAACACCACGTCGTCCTCCGCCTCGTCCGGCTCGGCGGCCAACACCGGCAACGGCGCCAACAGCAACGGCAGCAACAGCAGCACCAACACCAAAGGAAGCGCAGCTCAAGCCCCGCACATCTACCCCTGGATGAAACGCGTTCATCTCGGCCAAAGTGAGTCATTTCGTCCGCGTGCAACGAGTGCCCGCGCTCGATCTTCCTCCTTTTTTTTAACGTCTCTTTAAGTGGTTTTTATAGGGCCCTAAATCTTACGGCGAGGAAGTCCGATTATCGCTCCGCAGAGACTCCGTTTCGGATCCCGAGGTCCCCCTCCTTCGTTTTTTTTCCCCCGTCGCATCGAGATGATATAAGGAGTGAAACACGTTTGGAAAATGGCATCGAACATTAGCCCGTATAGGCGGATACTGGATCCGAACGCTTTCTTCTCTCTAAAAGCCCCCGAGTCCATAAATTTTCCCTTCCCCAACTTTCTCCCCTCCTCATCGAGCCCCCTGCCTTTTTATTGTCCTGTTTTTGATTTCGAGTCCGTCGCGTCCTCCCCTCCGCAGTCGCTGCGTTCGTGGTAAATTCTCGGTCGTTTTGCGGTGTGCGTATTTTCCTCCGTCGACGATGCACATTTTAGGTGAAATTTTGTGGAAGTTTCGACGAAACTAGCGTTTCGGACAATCTCTTCGACGCCGTTCTTCCCGACGACGCGCGTACGAGGTCGCTCGCCGCCTCGTTTCGATCGCGACGCATCGCACCGCGGAAGCCTGCCTTCCGTTCGGCTCGTTCCGAATGCCGGCATCGAGAAAGCACGATGGCGGGAAAAAAGGGGCCCTCCCTGCCAAGTTGCAAACATGTCGCATTGTGTAGCACGAGGGGTGGGGAATGGAGAGAACCCCCCTCCCCCTCCCCCTCCTCCTCCCCCTCCTCCTCCCCCTCCACCCCTCCACCTCCCTCGTATCCGCCCCGTATTGCACAAGAGAGGGAAGGAGAAAAGAGGAGCAGAGGACGAGGTCCATTGACCCAGCCTCCACGAGGGAATTTCTTTCCTTTCGTTGCGACTCGGACGCATTCTCTCCGAACGCACGAAAACCCTCTCCTCGACACGAACGCACAGGTCTCCATCCCCCAAATGTTTGCACAGAACTTCCGGAGAGATTCGCAGCCGATCTTGTTTTGGTCGGGCGCATCCGCCGGCCCGACTCGAGAAAAGCCTGCATGCGAGTGAATGATGCCTTTGAAACGAGAGTCACGAAACCCGTGTCGAACCCGGTGTCCCCATCCCGTAGGAGCCATCGTTATCCCCCCGGAGTCCCGATCGAGATTATCCTCCCCGATCGTCGAACGGAGACGCATGCAACCCCGCGAATGCGTTTCCCTTCCAGCCTCTCCCGAGTCTCTTCCGTCGACACGAACGCTCTTCGCTCGAGTTTCCCCGTGCGTGCGCGCGTCGCGATCGCGACGGGCCGACGGACGCGGAAGCCGTGGTTTCGTTCGACGAGACCCGCACGCCCGTCGATTCCTGCATGCAAAGCGCCGACGAGCAGAAAGGCGGGGAAAGTACCGAGGAAAGTACTCCGAGCTCCCAGCGAGGATCGTTAACGGTGGACCGGCGGAGAAAAAGGACGGCGCGGAAAGTGGAAGATGACGCTCCGACTTCTTTTCTTCCGGGAAAATATGATTTATGTGGAAGCGATTACTCCGAGTCGCATGTTTCCTCTCCCGGCACAGCAGGCGACACACAACCCCTTTATTTATCAAACAGTACTCGATTCTCGGCGGCTTCGTCGGTCGATCGAAACCTTGCGGGTCGCGTTCGTCGCGCCTTCGCGCGTCGGTGTGCGAGTCCTTCGATCGGTCGTTCGCGTGCACGCCGGAGCGTGCAAGCAAATCGTCCCGACGGTGTCTCCAGCCGGGTCGGGACCGCGATCGAAACCCCGCGGAGTTCCGATCGACACCGAAAACCCGACCGAAAACCGCGACTCGATTGCTCTCCCGGTCGGCAACGACGAAGCGAAACTCCCGTACGATTTTCCGCCCGAAAGGTCCCGCTCCGAATTCGGAAAGAGTTCGATTCGCCGTCCCGAGTCGACTGCGAAACCTACTAATATCTAGAATGTCACGAGCCGAAAAGCCGAGCTGCTTGTCGTTTGTCACGCTCTCCTCGGTCGTGGATGAAGCAGCACACTCGTTTCACCTCTCTCTTCGAATCGACACGGAAAAGGTGAAAAAGAAAGGGAGAGAATGAGATCGCAGTCTCCGCGTAATGATCGCCATTCATGCATCGATTTGGCAGCAACCCCCCCCCCCCCCCCCCCCTCAGAGCCATCCTCAGGGGCATTTCCCCCCATCCCGTTTTGTCTCCCGGTCGCATCGCGTTTCTCGCTTCCCGTTCCGTCTTCGGCCATCGGCAATTGCTAGGCAGCTCGCGTGATCGCCCGGGATTATAGGATGTCACAGGCCATATATATACCGCTAGGACATGCAGGAATATGGACGGAACCTGTTCCTCCGATCCGCGTACTCGTGTCCGCGAGTGCTACAAAGTGAGCTCCTTTGGAGGCCATTATGTTCGAGAGAACCGACGGCTCGTTTTTTTTTTTTTTTTTTTTTTTACAGGTGAGCTTTTTTTTTTTTTTTTTTTTTTTAGACGCGAAATCCTTCCGCTACTCCTGAAGCACACCTCGCAGCTGTTGCCACGATCACTTATCCGTCGCTGACCCGACGTCGAAACGTGGCATTTCGTCAGGTCTCGGTGATAATCTCTTCGGGGCATCTGGAAAAAAAAATAATTTTGGCACGTTTATTCATAAATTTCAAGATCTCTGTGAGGAAATGGCACGAAGAGGGGCTTTTGCGCACAACGACTACATTAGAAGCCCGCAAGCCATGTCTCCACATGGAAACTTGAGTCCCGTCTCCTACGGACTTTATTACGACTCGGATTTATTTTCCCCGGGGACGATAAAAATGTGATATCGCTTAAAATCGATGGGCTTGCAGCCACGTATTAGGAAGTCTCCTATTTTCATCGTAGAATTTACCGTATATCGAATTTGAGTCTTAATAGTGATCTTTTGGCCGGAAACGGCGAACCCGTCGCGAAACGGAAAGGCTCGAGAAAGAGATCGGAGATACCTTTTACGATCCGAGTAAAGTCCCCGAATGGAGCAGAGGCGGAACATCGTTTATGAGAACGGCCGAACGACCGTGTCGGCGCACGTTTTGTGTTTTTACGAGCCGCTTCGTACGACGACCAAAGTACCCGGTACGAGTACCGAAACGTCGTTGCGACACGGCGGTGCGTCGTGACGCCATCGCGAGTACCGACACGTACCGACGTGTACCGACACGTGTACCGACTCTTCCCGATGCGGAATCTCTGTCCCCGGTCGGGACCGCCTTCGATCGCCTGCACCGGATCGTGTGCCGCTGCGTGCTCTGCGGGTTCATTTATGCGGAGCGGAAAACGGGATGGAAGACGGAAACGGTCGAAAACGGAAGCCGCCGGCCGCCATCGGAACTCGGAGCGACGAAAAGGGTTCGTCCCGACGGGAACCCGTCCGATCGGACGGCCGGAGTCCCCCTCGAGAAATCATACGCGTTCGGTTCGTCGAGGAAGTTCGGAAGCGTCCTAAATATGCCGCGAGGACGTGCGAAAATGACGTAACGAGACGGTCGTAAAGGAGGACGTTTGGGAGGATCCCGAGACGGAATCCGACTTTTCAGACTTAAAAAGAGTCCATCGACTTCGGAATCCGGGTCCGATCCGGTCCGTCGGCCCATCGGATGCATCCTGCATCCGATAGGCCGATGCATCGTTTCGCGAGCTCGAGAAGTCGAGACTGGAAATGCGATGGGCGAACGGCGAGTCGCGATCGAAGAGGGACCTCCACTTCGCAGAATGTCGTCTGCACGAATCGCATCTCGTCGAGGATCCCCATCCTCCCGGCATCTCGTCTTTTGGGACGAACGGGGTACGTGTCGAAACTCATCCTTCGTCCGTCGAGCGCGTTTCCTCCTTTTTCTCCTCTTCTCGCGTTTTTGCCGTTCTACATTTGGACGATCCAGATCCAGGGACCATTTCACGTCGTGGAGCGCCATCTTGGAATAATGCGAGCGACGCCTCCACCGTAAAATACCTTTCGTGGAAATCCCTCTGCTCGACACCCTCTGTCCATTCGCTTTCCGCGCCGTTTCGAACCGCCTTTAGTCGTCGTGGAGAACGGACAGTGGCGAAGCACGTACGCCGAACATTCCACGTTTCGACGCGGTTCGTTTGGGAAACGTACGTTCCAGGAAGAGTCCTAAATTTCATGCGGATCGAGTCGAATCGTTCAAATGTATGAAATCCTCCTCGCAGTTCGCCTTCCAACGATGCGACCGACGGCGGGGAAGCCCGAACGTTTCAAAAATTGTCTAATAATACTGTCTAATGCCAATACTAATATTTAAAAAAAAGCTTAAAAGTGCGTTCCTATTGCACTCCACTTGGCGCGAAGTAAGGAGAAAGCGTCCCGCTCGGTAATGTCTGCTTAATAAACGTCATTTTCACGACTGCCAATGGATTGCAAAAAGAGCTAACTCGTTTTCTTCGCGGATTGCTGCTAGTTCGCAGCGAGTTTCCCGTATGACCATCGAGTACCTTCGATCTAGAAACAACAATGGGAATCCTCTCTTCTTTTTTTTTTTGGCAACGGAACTTTCCCGGACCGAGAGAGCCAATCTAACGATTTCGCCAAATGAGCAGTTTCGACTGTCGATTCTTAAAAGCGCTTCGAAAATACCGAACCGATCCGGACGTCGGGGTCTCGTATTTTTGGGGGTTTCCGGCGGACGCAAATCCGCTGGAAGTGTTGCGCCTAAAGTGTCATTCGAGAACGTTCAGGGTTTCCGTATATAATTATTATTCTTCCGATGCCGAAATATGTAGCACCCTCGAACTCGGACTACCCGCAGGAGTGTTCTTCGGTGTCTCCACGTATCGAATCGGAGGATGTCCCGAAATTGTGGCCACAAATGAGATGAGGAATATTTCATATGAGCACTGAAATACGAGTGTTTTTAAAAATATGCCGCGGTAGTGCTATAATTCAGCGATGGCATGGAAGAATTGAGTGGACTCATCGTCCTTGCTTTGGATTTATCGCCGTGAATCCACGGCATTCATGAGACAAAAGTATCACCTTTCTCGCACCGCACAGTGAAACGGGCGCAAGACTTATTATTATTATTTTAATTATCTTTTTATTATTCTTTATATTTTTAATGGCCGATTCGCCGATGCGATCACTCGAGGCAACTCTTCGCCAAAAGTGTCGTTGCGAGGGGGCATCCGAACGCGAACAGCCGCAGGAACCCGATGCCGTCCCCGATGCCGTCCCCGATGCCGTCCCCGACGCGAGTCACGGTATCTCGTCGTCATTCCACCCCGTTTGACTGCAATCCGTTCGTCCGGCGATGCATGTCGTCGGGATCGAGCACGGTAGGCGTGTCGACCGACTCGACCTTCGGAGAGCGACGCGATGGCGACGGCCGTTTCCCACTGCGACCGTGATCGCCGCGACCGTCTCGCGAAATGCTGCTCGAAAAATCGAAACCCGCTTTTCGCAGGAAACGCGAACCGTCGGCACCGCGTTGCCCCGATGCGACGGGTCGCGTTCTGCACGTCGAACGCGCGTCACCATCGCGGAATCGGTTCCGTCCGTGGGTTTGGAAATTCCACGATCGACGATTCTTACACCCCGTTGCGATGCCAAATTATTACAACTCGGGAAGCTCGGGAATCCGGTTCGCGACTAAAGAAGCGAACGACAATCGTGGGAGATCGTATAGGAAAGTAATCTTCCCCCAAATTCATCTTGCGTGCTTCGCACACACTCGATCCCTGTATTGAACATCCGGACGTCGAACCGACGTCGAATCGACGTCACTAGGGATACTAGGGATGTTCCCGTTTCTGTTTTTTGGATACTTTTGACCGTAAGACGTCTGCCTTACGGCCAGAATTCTAAGGCAGATT